AAAAGAAAACAGAGACAAGTTCCTCCAAATCCCCCCCACCACCACCAGAAACTATATGGTTATCGGGTTGAAGGGGGGAAATCATCACTTCTTCAACATAATCATCATATTGACATTTTTGTTTTGCACACAGTCCTGCCTTTATTTTGCAATGTTTTTTTCATGGGTGTAATTTTTTTATTTTTTTCCCTCATCTGAGATTGACATTTGTTTGTAATTTAGAAATAATCTAAAGCAAAAAGAGCCAAAAATGTAACATTCACAAAAAAAAATTTTATGTGTCCTCCCTCAGCCGACATCGTTCTGCAGAGCAAGCATCACTGTGGCTCCTACGAACGGCCTCTGGAGGAACGTATTCTTGACACGGATGAGCTCCAGGTCTTCTCTCACTCCGGCGCCCAGTACTACGCCCCCAACGTCGACTGCATCATCACCATCATCGGCAAGACGTACCACCAGTGGGAGGTGCAGCTCATCAACCTGCACATCGACGGACACAAATGCGAACATTACTCGCCGTGTTGTAACGATTTCTTGAAAATTTTCAACAGTAAGTTGTGGGTTTTTTCTTCAAATTCAGTGTTAAAGCTTATTATTGATTGAGAAAAGGCTACTGTTTTTACTGTTATTTTATCTATGTTTGTGTATTTTAAGTTGTTTTTACTTCAGATTCAGTGTTTAAGCTTTTAATCGAGAAAAGACTGCCGTATTTACTGTACTTGATCTATGTTTGTACTTTTAAAGTTTTTTTGCTCTTCAGATTCCGTGTTAAAGCTATAAATTTAATTTATCGAGAAAAGGCTACCGTTTTTACTGTTAATCTATGTTTGTTTATTTTAAGTTGTTTTTACTTCAGATTCAGTGTTAAAGCTATTTATCGAGAAAAGGCTACCGTTTTTACTGTAATTATTTCGTCTATGTTTGTGTATTTTAACCATTGTTGATACTTTGTAGAGATAATTGTACTTGTAAATTGTATATAAGCTCCTGATGGTTAGGGTAACAGAGGGCGCATATATTAGAAGTTTAAGATGTTTGTTTTGCAGAGTAGGGATATTCAATTTAGAAACAGATTTTTTAGATGCTGGGTATTTTCACATTTTCAGGGCTGTGCTGTTTTGAATGCACAGAACAATGTCTTAAATTAGATTAAAGGTTTTTAAATGCACAGGTGTCTATATATATATATTGGTTTCTTTTTGCACAATTCTTTATTACAGTTAAAATTTAAGTATGGAACCCATATTTTCTCTTCCAAGGTCAATATTATATGACACTGACTTCCAATGAATAGACGTCATGTGTGTATTTACAAGCTTTTAAATTGTAAATAAAAACACTGTCTTACACTCATACCCCATACATGTCGAAGAGTGTTCTTTTAACAACTTTCTGTATGGCGCTGCTTAAGTGTTTGCCATTGATAGGTAAAAACTAAAAAGCTCTCTGTAATTTAATTAGTTTTTCAGTGCTGATCTGTAAAGATGATAATGATTGCATCTATAATATATAATATATTTCACATATTCATGCCTTTCAGCATGCACAGCTTTTTCCATCAATTCCTTATATATATATATATATATATATATATATATATATATATATATATATATATATATATATATATATATATATATATATATAATATTAATGATTACGACTGCATATATATATCACAGATTCAAACCCTACAGCATGCTCTTTTTGCCATACAACAATCATGTCTAATAACGTATCTTTTTGGTTGTCATTACAGGTTACCGCACAGATAATGCACGACTTTTCCATCAATTCCCTGTATATATATATAATAAAATGATAATGATTGCTTTTATATATCACATATTCAAGCCCTACAGCATGCTCTGTTCGCAATCAACAATCATGTCTAATATCGTATCTTTTGGTTGTCATTACAGGTTACCGCACAGATAAAGCATGACTTTTCCATCAATTCCCTATATATATAATAAAATGATAATGATTGCTTTTATATATATATCACATATTTAATCCGTACAGCATGCTCTATTCACAATACAACAATCATGTCTAATATCGTATCTTTTTGGTTGTCATTACAGGTTACCGCACAGACAATGCACGACTTTTCCGTCAATTCCTTATATATAGTCATGATAATGATTTCATTTAAATATCACATATTCAAGCCCTACAGCATGCTCTATTCACAATACAACAATCATACCTAATATCATGTCTTTCTGGTTGTCATTACAGGTTACCGCGCAGACAATGCACGACTTTTTCCCTCAATTCCTTGGCAAGGGTTCTGTGGAACGTCTCTGCCCTCCCGAACGTCGTTCACGTCCACACAGAACTACATCACCATCCAGTTCAATTCCGATCCTAAAGCGGAGAGCATGGGTGGCTTTGCTTTGAACCTTCGTCAGTATCCTCGTAGAAACGCTGGTTCGGAATTCCATCAGAACGGATATATTGGGGGTATGAGATTTGTACGCTTCCCTTTTACTTTTGGAAGTGTCTACGTACTCCCCGATTGGGGTCTACGTAGTCATGGTGTCTAGGTGGACCCCAAAAATGTTGGATTGTGATTGGTTGTAAAAGAGCATAAGCCTTTCGTTAGCATTTTGTCAAAATGGCCGCCCCCTGAAATCGACTAGATCCAGTTCCGAGAAGGCCACTCTATCTGGCCTTCTCGTCCAGTCCCCATGTATGAATCAAGTTGCATGATAGGCCTAGTGTGTTCCGCCAAATCACAGGCAAGTAGTCAAGAGTTGCTCTTCGGTCATTCGCCCACCAGGCCACTACTAGATCTAGATCTAGATCTAGATACGTTTATTCAATAAATACTCTCTCTCTCTCTCTCTCTCTCTCTCTTGGCTAAAATAAATTAATTATAGTATCACAAAATAGACATACTACCCGAGATGATCAGTAAGAGGCCTAGCTGCCTTGCATTGTAACCAATGTAAACTACCGCTCGTTCAGCGAGCCAATCACAATCCAACATTTTTGGGGTCCACCTAGACACCATGACTACGTAGACCCCAATCGGGGAGTATGTAGACACTTCCTTTACTTTTACTTTTATCCGCCACTTATACCCTTTTGGGTGTCGCGGGAAGAAGAGACGTCTCTCTGTCGCCAGCCGGAGAGCTTGGGTCAGGGGGATGTCGTGGGTGGTTAATGTTTCCCTGACTCCATCTATCCAGGTCTTTCTCTGTCGCCCTCTAGCCTTGTTGCCATCGAATTTGTTTATGTAGGCACGTTGTGCTGGGTACATTTCCCAATAACGGAAAACTGTAAAATATCAGTTAAAGTATCTGCTTTGTTCAGTTATTTTTTTTTAGCAGCAACTGATGTACATATTGATAAGATTAGGTTGCTTTTTAGTAACTCTTGTTTGAAGGTAGGCGCACAAGACGGATCCAACAAATGTTCTTTTCTTTGCGACAATAAGTGAACTTAACTACCCCGGGTTTTTTTTTGGGGGGGGGGGTTCTATAGTTTCCTTGCCATTAATGATAAATTTTTCTAGCGCATAACTACCCTTTTTTTTTTTTTTCCTATAGTTTCAGTTTCCTTGCCATTAATGATACATTTTTCTAGCGCAAGTTACAGTAGAGAGGCCCTGACTCTGAATGATTAAGACTTTGCTGTCACATTTCGCCGATCAGCGATGTTTTCCACACAGTTTCTGTGGATTTTCCCCAAAATGCTTTTGCCTTTGATGGCGAGGGTTTTTACTATATATGAGCCTTGTGGTATTTGATAGTGATACCTGTTTAGTCAAAGAAGAAATTCTGCTTATAACTGCACTAGCTATTGGAGCATGGATCGGTAATGCTGTCCCGTGTAATACTTGTGTGTGTGTGTGTGTGTGTGTTTGGCATACATGTGTGTGCATATGTGTGCGTGTTATGTGTTCGTGAGTGTGTATGCGTGTGTTTGTGTGTGTGTATGTGTATATGTGTGTGTGTATATGAGTGTGAGTGTGTGTGTGTCGCGTGCATGAATATTTTTCTTACATGCATTTATGTAAAGCGCCTAGAGCTGTGTCTACACGGGAGTGGGCGCTATAGAAATGATCTTCATTATTATTATTATTATTATCACCCAGGCTGGAATGATGGCACTCTGAACGAGCTACAGGTTGATTGGTCCGAACAAGAGGTCATCCCTGGTGACTTCAAGCCTGGACAAGACCCGACCTTTGACTTCGACCCCAACGGTATCCGCTGTTACGAGTGCCAGGGCTGCAAGAAAGAGTACTTCGATAACTCTGATATCGGGGTCACGACGAGAGACGGGTGTTTTGTCTGCACAAAAGAGTGGCTACAGGGTAAGTGCAGAGATTTTTAGGAACAAATAATAATGATGTTCGTCCTTTGCTGGCGAAGATGACCTTGACTTCACATCACTGGAGGGGTCGGGTGTGTGCGGAGATGGCTGATCAGGCCGATCTTCGCTCGGAAATGTCTGTTGCAGTGGGGGCAGGGGATGGTTGAGGCTGAGCTAGGCTGGAAGGTAGGGCTCTTTCGGTCTTTTCTCAGAACAAATAATAATTACATATAATAATAATAGATAATAGATAGCATTTGTATAGCGCAAATGCCCGTTCAACAGCAAGCTCTATACGCTTCACAATCTATACTATTACCCCAGCAGACCTGAGAGCATTATGAAACAAACTCAATTTCCTGGGAAGCATACAGTGCAAGCAGCCATTTATAGGCGCTAAAACACTAACATACTGACAAGATCTTTCGCTGTCTCTGGCTGGGTACCCATTCCCACATGGGTGAAGTGAGGATGATTCGTGTAAAGTGCCTTTCCCAAGGACACAGCGTCGGGCCCGCGGCTCAAACCGCCGAACCCCCTCAACCTCACGATTACGAGTCCAATAGCCTAACCTCTATTTGTTCATTTTGCTTTTCTGTGGGTGGGTCAGATAAAGTACTACTGGCCTGATTGCTCACTTCTGGAGTTACGTAAATGATGAAATGAAGGACAGTCGTTGGTTAGTTACTGAGTCAATGCTGGGTTAGTCATTAACTGAACCCTTAATGTGGGGGCAAAAGAGAACCCTCAGTGGGACTAAAACAGGATTATTATTCCTGCATGTTGGTTAGCTAAACTTTTTCTGCTAGTGGCAGTATAGTACAACTAAGCACAGAGTGTTTCGACGATTTTACGCCCACTTTAGAATATTCCAAACCTTAAAGATGAGGAATTATACTACCACAAGAAAGAATCTGGCTATTGATGTGAGGACTTCTTCTACTGGAGCTGCACGCCATATGTACTTCCTACAAGCAGCAAACTTGTTCATTTTTGTTTGTTAATTATGAAAATTATTAGCTACGGGCTGTAACTATATCGATAATATTGGATTTAAGGCATGAAAGAGCTAATTTTAAAATCTTCTACACCATAATTTTTGCTATATCAAATTAGGGTCAAATGCATCATTTCAATAAAAGCAAAGTTGTTCCCGCATCCGATCCGGACATTGGGGATTGCCTTGTTAGTGAGACAACTTCCTGGGCCTTCGGCGTAATATATTGTGGTAGGGTGGCCAGTTCCTTTCCCCGCCGCCTTTACTTCCCCAACTCGAAGTCAGGTACCCATTACAATTGCCGAAAAATAATTTGAATTTGAAGTCGTCCTTAAGGAATGTGCCTGAGCCGCTGTCAGCAGCTCACTGATACAACAGTTCCGACCGCGAGCCACTGGGAGGGGCTTGCCGGAGATAAAGAGTTAAGATCTGATGCTATTTCAAAAATTTATTTTAGAAGTTAATGCTTTAAAGGAAACATCTGTGATCTGTTTCTTTCCAGGCCGTGGTGAAGCCACGCTAAACTCTGGTGGTAGGGCTGACGGGTTTGTTCAGTTCGCTGTTCTTATCTTTATGTGGGTCTGTCATTGCTAAACTCTGGTGGTAGGGCTGACGGGTTTGTTCAGTTGTCAGAAGTTCTGTTTCACAAGAGAGATATTGCTGCCTTTTGGTTAGTGCTTTAAAGGAAACATCTGTGATCTGTTTCTTTCCAGGCCATGGTGAAGCCACGCGCCAGTGCCTCTCTCGTTCAACGTTTAGAGAAAAACTGCTCATGTACAGAGGTGAGTATGTGGGTGGTTGGCGGGTGCTCTGGTGTGGTTTGCTCCTTCTTTCTTATCAAACATCTATCGCCCTTATCTCCCCTTCTTCTTTTTTATGTTTGTTACTCTCTTGTAACACCTCTAATCTTCTGGCGCTCTATGACCTTATGCAGTTGCGAGTGCCGTAAAACCTCTACTAAAAAAATATGTTTTAAATAGGTGAGTATGGTCTTCTTCTCAACACTGTCTATAATCAAGTCATCTTGTCTCGCAAGATTTTTTAAAAATTTGTATTGTTTGTATAAGTTTTTCTCCTTTTTCTTTTCAGTTTGTATCTTTTGTTTGAATCTTTCTCCTATTTTTAAAGTTTGTATCATTTGTTCAAATCTTTCTCTGCTTCTTTTAAATTTGTATCTTTTGATCAAATTTTTCTCAGCTTTTTAAAAAATTTGTATCGTTTGTTTAAATTTTTCTCTGATTGCTTTTAGTTTGTTTCTTTTGTTCAAATCTTCCACGGGGAAGTAGAAATCCATAATTTTAATACTAAAAAGTATTTTTTTGTAATTACAAGAAAGAGAAAGGAAGACTGGTTTGGAAATTTCTCAGTTCTAATATTGTTTTGCTGTTGATGTTGTTTTTCGGGTTTTTTTAACTGAAGTGTGGTGCTGAATAGTGGCGAGGAAAATGTTTGCTTTACCAACTCTCTGTGATACCAGCTGTACCTTGTAGCCTCCCTATTCACTGAATGTTTTCCCGTGAAAATGTGCTTTAAACATAATATCCTATCTTATATTTCTGTCCTTCATTCTGTTTCCTTTTTTTTCTTTTTTTTTCCTAACAGATACGTCTCAAGGAGATGAAAAAGTTGCAGATTTCCGGGAGTGTCGTACGCTGATTCGAGGCGTGAGTAGCACCACGTACGTCACGCTGTGTGTGTGCGACACCGCCGGATGCAACAAAGGTCAAGGCTTGAGAGCTGGGTGGCTACTTCCGCTGTTCTTGTCTTTATGTGGGTCTGTCATTGCTAAACTCTGGTGGTAGAGCAGATAGTTTTGTTCAGTTAGCTGTTCTTGTCTTTATGTGGGTCTGTCATTGCTAAACTTTGGTGGTAGGGCTGACGGGTTTTTTCAGTTGTCAGAAGTTCTGTTTCACAAGAGAGAAATTGCTGCCTTTTGGTTAAAGGGAGTGCTGCTAAAAGTACAGTGCAGCCTCTCTATAACGACCTTTGATATAACAACATCCTCTGTGTAGCGACATGGTGCCCAGGTCCAGATTGTTCCTTTTATATGTCATTAGTAATATTTTTGGTTCCCTCTCTATAACAACAACTTTCTACTACGACATTTTTATCTGGTCCCGACGATGTAGTTATAGAGAGACTGCACTGTTTGTTGTTTGTCCACGATTATTGAAACAGTGTCTGTGGTGTAGCAGTTAGACACTTTGCTGTCGCAGGCAGGAGACTCGAGTTTGATTCTGGAGTGGGGAGAAATTTTTATTGAGTATCTCGGTCTTCCTGATGGGATATTGCATCCCTCTCGGCCCAGGTTGACCCTGATAGTCAGGGTCGGAAGCAGACATCCTAAATTATCTAAATTGTGTTGGTGAGAGTGTAAAAACACCTACATTGTACACTGCCTGTACCCAATTAGAGAATATAATTTTGCAAATGTCCTGCTACACCAATTAGGGTATTGCAATATTTTCCTTTTGATCATGTCTAAATTGCTTATTATGTGTAAGGACCAGAGACTGTTTTGCTGACATGGCAGTCCCAAGAACATTGAGGCCTTTGACAGTCTCTGTCTAACATGCAAAGAGTCTGGTCTGCTTTATCTTCTCTTCAACATAGGGTCTGGCCGTAAAAGTTATTTTTAGCATTTCGGAGATTCTGTGCCTTGCTGTGCGAGGCAGGATATGTGAGGCAGCGTGGTGAAATCAGTGCCACTTTGTCTATTTTTATCCAGTTTGTTTTTTTTGGCTAAACTGTTTTTATGCCCATATGAAAACACATTTCCAAGTGAATTTTACTGGAAAAAATAGATTAAAGGCACAAAATATGTAAATGTCCAGTTTTCAAGGACTCTCAAGGTATAGGAGTTACCAAACTTTGGCGGACTTTTTCCCGCTAATTTTACCTCTGAAACGAGACGACCCTGTCCTCCTTCTATCACAAATACCTTGACTTCTGTTCAAGATACGTAGATATTTTTTTTCACCTAAAGGAAGGCAAACGAACAGGCTTTAAAATGATACCAACAACCCCATATATGCCAAAAGTTTGATGAGCGCCTGATTCCACCACGATGTGACACATATATATCTCGACGCTGTGGAAGCTGGCGCTCGTCAATATTTGGGCATGTGGAGTTATTGGTATCATCTTAAAGCTTGTTCAGTTGTCTTGCTTTCAGTGAGAAAAGTAACCATCTGTCTTTAATAGAAGTCGAGATATTTGCGATTGTAGGAGGTGGGGTTGCCTGGTTTCAGAGGTAAAATTAGCTAAAAAAAATGGCCGCCAAAGATTGGTAACTTCCGTAGCCTTAGAGTTCTTGGAAACTGAAAATTTACATCTTTTGTGCCTTTAATCAATGCTTTTCTGTAAAAATCCACACAAAAATGTGTTTTTAAATGGATAAAAAAGGTGTTGAGCTCAAAAAAGAAAATTAGAAAAAAATTGCCCTTGGGCCAAAAAAAAAAATGATGATTTCTCTGATTTCGTTATTTTGACGAGCGCCTGATTTCATCACGATGTGACACATATTATTCTGTCCTCTGCGAAGCTACTTTATCCTGTTTTGCTCTAGTCGTCCAGCTGTGTGTGCCTAACTGGCTGCAATGCTGTCACACTCTGAGGGGACTCAGACAGTGAATCAATGTGAATTCGCTAGCTGAGAGATTTCAAGACTAACCGCGTTTTTGGTCAGGTAGAGCTATGTTGAAACGTAAGATTAAAATGAAAAGCCAGAGCAAGGTTCTAATTTGTTTCGTTTGACTTATCCAGGGCAAGTAGATCATGAATGTACACTTTTGAATTTTGACCATTTGCAGTTGGTGGTCTTAAAATAGAAAATGTTTTACAGAGAACCTGGGAATCTGAATTTGCTCAGAACTTTCTTGGTTGTACCACATTAACCCTTCCAGCCCCAAGCGCGTATATTTTCAGCAGCGCTTGTACCTCCCACCATCCCAAGAGCGTATATTCTCAGTTTCAGGGGGTACTGAATTTGTGCTTTTAAAAAAATTAACGAACCTATTTAAACTTTAATTTTCATAATATTTGTTCATTTACCTTTAAACATTGTTTGATGTTATTATCTAAACCTCATTACAAAGATACTACATCACTTTTAGAATGCATGCCTCTTTTTCTGAAATACTGCTGTATTGGCTGGGACTGGGGTTAGGGAGTGCACAAAAATGGCTGGGGCTGGAAGGGTTAAGATTTGCTGTAGCAGATTGTTGTGTGTATTTGCTCAGAACTTTCTTGGTTACACCATATTTAAAGATTTGCTGTAGCAGATTGTTGTGTGTATTTGAAGGGTTCTCACTTGAGTGGTGTCGTGAAATTGTGAATTTGAACAGGTGACAAGGACAGCAGATTGTGTGTGATTTATGCCATATTTCTGTCTGTGTAATGTCAATTTGTCAATTCTGTGCTACTTTATTGTTCGTTGCTAAAGTTGTTTTTGTTCACTGATGCATATCGTGTACACTTCATTGTATAAAACCTGTTCATAAGTCCATTATTGTACCATTTCACATTGTAAACTGAATGCGTGCATGGTTTGGGGTTTTTTTCTGAATGTAGTGTGTATGTGTTCATTTTTATCTGAATGTAGAAAAGTTTGTAAGTTTCTTTACGTCCAGATGAACATGTTTCTTTGGTTCTTTTTTTAAGAACATCATCAGCCCATGAAGTATCTACAAGTTGTCAGTTTCAGTAGAGTTGGCATGGTGGGTGTTATGAATAATTGCCTTACCGTACTACATGAGGAGCCATGGGTCTGAATTTCCATGAACTAAATGTTTATAATATGTGAAAAGGACACCCGCAACCAAGCAATGAAATCGTTGTGATTTTTTAATGAGACTGTAAAGTGTACTGGTACTAATGCCCCTTCAAAGTGGGAAGGACAAGTGATTTTTTAATGAGACTGTAAAGTGTACTGGTACTAATGCCCCTTCAAAGTGGGAAGGACAAGTGATTTTCTTCTCATCTTGTACAATCACGTCTAAAATGTCATAATCTCTTTTATTTATGAAAGCAGACCCGTAAAACTCAACTGGACGGCAGAAATATTATTTTGCTGCCGTACTGGGAGATCAGTTTGGCAATTTTTTTAATTTCTTTTTTTGACAGCGCCAGAATTACTTAGGTATAACACCCAACACTGTCATTTGCAAAATAGTCAAAGGTTAAATGTGACGTAAGACTGCATCCAGCGAAGTAGCAAAGGTGTTAGAAGCATGACTTTTGAGTTTAAAAGCATGTTTTTCATTTGCACTCCTTAGAAAAGCGTAGATAAGGAGTATATCGCGATCTCAGTGCCTTCTTGTCCTATCTCCTTTTTTTTTTTTTTTACATTGAAAATGTGGCTTCTTCTTAAGCTCACTCTTTGTTATAAACTGTTTTCACTGTTATGAAAAATGGAGATAGGACAAGAAAGCGCTGAGGTCGTGATGTGGTGCGGGGCTAGATGGAATAGTAAAAGGGAAGTGAAAATAGAAATGGTGTGCATGATTTTTTAAAACAGGAGATGCTGTGCTCCGGAAGAGGAGTGAAATGCTTGATATGGTTGTGTGTTTGAGAAAAATTGGTTGTTAGAATTAGATCTATGTGTGTTTGGTAAGTAGTGCTGAAAAAGAAGGTTTTGTCATTGTACATAAAATAAACTACCACTTTTATTTTTATTAATCAAAGTGGTGAAATTTTAGATTACAATCAGACCTGCCACTCATCCCGATTTAGTCGGGATATCCCGATTTTTTGCCCCAAATCTCAATCCTCCCGATTTTCCCGATTTCAATCGCGTGTATCCCGATTTTTTGTCCCAGTCTGCTGTTGTGCCGGGTTTTTCTAGAAACTTCATCTGCCTTCTCCTTTATCGCGGGAAGCACCCGTCGAACCTTTTGTCAGTAGGAACTCGGAGCACTATTTCCCGAAATATCGATGCCGCATTTAGTAGTTGACTCTCCACAAGTTGTGTGTGATCTTTTCCCGCACTCAGAATTCTCCGATGATAGCCTGGTAACTGTTTCTATTTGGGACATTTAATAATCGATTATATTCGTAGTTCCGCTGTTACTGTTACTTTTCCAAACAAGCCTTGTCCGAGGTCGGTCTGGTAACTGCGCGTTCACACCAAACACTCGGACAAGGGACAGTCTTTCTAACCTTTACACAACTACATGGAACTTGGAACACTCGGACAAGGGACAGTCTTTCTAACCTTTACACAACTACATGGAACTTGGAACACTCGGACAAGGGACAGTCTTTCTAACCTTTACACAACTACATGGAACTTGGAACACTCGGACAAGGGACAGTCTTTCTAACCTTTACACAACTACATGGAACTTGGAACACTCGGACAAGGGACAGTCTTTCTAACCTTTACACAACTACATGGAACTTGGAACACTCGGACAAGGGACAGTCTTTCTAACCTTTACACAACTACATGGAACTTGGAACACTTGGACAAGGGACAGTCTTTCTAACCTTTACACAACTACATGGAACTTGGAACACTTGGACAAGGGACAGTCTTTCTAACCTTTACACAACTACATGGAACTTGGAACTGCGCTGACAAGACTAACATACGCCGTTGCCTTTGCTTTAGTCTGAACACATGAGGGATAAGAGATTTGTTGGTACATTTGGTCGGTCGGCCGCCGTCGTTATCCTTGAAGTAGAACGACTGTCGCTCATCCGAGTGTTTTGTGTGAACGTGCAGTAGCCTGAACCAGTTAGTCGGTCGAACCCGTTAGTATTGTTTCAATCGCACATTCGCGTCACGTGACATATCATCGCCGTGTGAGCCCTGCGTGTCGGGGACCGTCCGTTGACGGGGTCAACTTAAGTTCAGGTATTTCGGGACTTATTGGTAGGGGCGGGGGGGGGGGGGGGGTAGACACTTGGACTAGTTCTTGACGCGATGCTTCAGGATTTACAAAAAATAATTATTACTCACGCGCACACACACACACACACACACACACACACACGCGCGCGCGCGCAAATAAAAACATACAGAGGGCATATAGGCCAGGGAATTTATGGACACCCCTGGAAAAAATTTAAGTCAGCTTTGGCAGTCACCTTGGTGATTTGCTGTTGATCCCGATTTTTTTCACCAAATCCCGATTTTTTTCTCCATGAGATCCTGATTTTGAGGTTTCATAGAATGGCAGGTCTGATACAATATCGTGTGTGATACATGAAACAGTAATTGATCAATGTGGCATTGTAATACACAACATCACACTAATACAGATAACATCTTGGTTTTTTTAATGAACATGCCACTGCTGATCTTCACAGTGCAGCACCCTGTTTTTATTGTGGACTGGGGTGTCTGTGGACTGTCTGCCCACCCTGAGAAGAGGCCATTCATGTTGAGGATAGGAGGGTACTAGGAGTTTTCATGAGACTAGAAAGACCTAACTGCCCTGTGACCGTGTAATTCCGGTAGGGTTCACGTTGCCCATTCCCCGCCACCAATGGCTACTGGCTAAGGTTTTCGACTCTTTCATGAGGTACTGGCCAAGTGGAAAAGCCATTGGATCGTCACGTCCTGGGTCGTTGTGCCTTTACTAAGAGGTTTCACGGCCAGAAAGCAAGTCAGGCATTCTGCTCGGTCCATCCCCTGCACCCAGACACTCTCAAACTGGCTGGTACCTTCTCAGCCACAGAGGGTGTGCCCTGTTTTTAAGCCAGGGTTATCTTGTCTTGCT